TTATTTGTAGAGCATCCTTAATAAAATCCTTCACATAAGCAAGGTGTTGATTTACAAGATAAATCAGAGAAGCACAATATACAATACTGGAGAGCAGTATACAAAACCTGGGTCTAAGAGCATGCTGGGAGTAGAGTTCACAAAAGGGCAGCTCCTTTCAAGGGAGAGCTAATAAATCTTTTTTTCCTAGACTGATTGATGTTTTTGGAAAAATGTTTTTGGATTTCAGGTCTGAATCAGAAGCACTGGGCTTTGAGTCAAGTACTGGTTGAAAACCAACCCATGGGAGCTGAACTGTACTGTGATCCTATCAGTGTCTGAAGAAAGAAGACGACAGACTAAGACAAGGGGGAATGATTTCAAACTAAAAGAGTAGAGATTTAGATTGGATATAAGGAAAAGTTTTTTTTTTTTATGATAAGGGTAGTGGAACAGGTTGTCCAGAGAAGTGGTGGAAGTCCTGTCCTTGCAGACATTCAAGGTCAGGCTGGACCAGGCTCTGAGCAACCAGATCTGGCTGTAGAGGTCCCTGGTGATTGCAGGAGAGTTGGACTAGATGACTTTCAGAGGTTCCTTCCAACTCAGATGATTCTATGATTCTGTAATTCTAATTGATTAGATGGCTTGGTTTTCTTAGGAAGAGCAACTTACCTAAAAAACTGGTAATTCTGAGTCTGGAAAAAATAAAATGGTCCAGCATATGTTTGATATCTCTAACTCAGACTCTGCAGGGACATGAATTCCTGAGTGCTCCCGGAACCTCCCTTCTTACTGCTCAGTGCTTCATCATGGTAGAAAAAAAAAAGGAAAGAAACTGAGTGAGTCAGAAAGAGTAATTTTCCAAATTTATTTAAGTTGTTTTCCAGGGTTTCTGGCACGTTCAAAAGGACTAAACAGTACTGCTTAACAGAGTTTGCCAGTAGGCAAATGTTGCATTTGCTATGGTTGGGTCTGAATTTTTGATAGTCAGGAACTGAAAGAGTACAAAGTAGAATTTAATCCTCTCTTCCAGTGTTGCTAGAGCTGAACGGACTGAATCAAGCAGCTGAGATTTAAGGTAAAAATCTGAAAGCTAAATTTACAATAGTGAAGTTCTGAAACATATAAGCACATCTTCTAATGATTAGGAATAAGTCCAAGAGTTTCAGAATGTACCTGGCCTGCAGTTTTTCCAACCAAATTAATTATCTGCATACACATAAGACACACTGCCAAAAAGACTTCTGCTTGGTATGAACTATTTGCAATCTTCCTGCAAGTTGCCAGAGCTGAATGTCAGCTGCAGCTCCCATTTGTTCGTGCCCAGTTGGGAAATTTTGATTCTATCCTGACTGTCCCCAAGTACTGAGTGAATGGTAAAGAATGTCCTCTTTCATTGACTTCTTCTGCCCAGCTGGGAGGGACAGGGAGCCCACCCTAAAAACAAGGCTGCTGTGATGCCCCTCTTGCTGACTGGGTTGTGTTCGTGTGCCTTATTTCATACTGTAGCATATAAAAGGAGTTTGTTTAACTCCCATATGCAACCAGCAGGTGTTTGTGACCATGGGAGTTGCATAATCAGTGAATGACAACATAAAATCTTTAAACCTGCAGAAAGAATTGAGAATTTCTGCAAATTTCTCTCTTGTCTGGCCACTCATTTTGATTGGTTATATGAAAAAAAAAAAAAAAGCCAGTTGTACATAAACCTCATCTGTTCTATGCAGCAGTATGTGTGTGGTTAGGAGGAGTATTTAAAGGGACAAGCGAGCAGTGTCACTGGATAAACAGAGGAACTGAATATGGGATCAAAATCCCTTTTAATGCACAAAGTGAGCTGCCATAACCGGAGATCATTCAACAATTTGAAAAATACTAGCAGAATAAATGGATCCTTTAAATCTAATGTACACCCTGGGGGAAAAATTATATATGTGTATATATATATAATATGTATATATATGTATATAATGTGTTATATATAATTTCTTAAATTATACCTCTGTTATACAAAATACACCTCTGCAGATGTTGCACTGAAATGAAATGCTTCTCTCCATACTCACTGGAGAAAGAACTATATTGAAGAGTGGAATGAGATGCTGAGTGTTAGGTACCATTGTATAACATGACAGACATATCTTACACTTGTTCTTCTGGTCTATGTTGCTCCCTAAAAGCCTCTGCATTTTATGAGGCCCGATGCAATTTTTTAGAGTTACAGAACAACCCTGGTGAAATCATGCTTTTGCTGTGAGATCTGAGCTGTTCTGAGGAATGGGAAAGAAGAAACAGAGGAGGAGAGGAATCACTGAGCTCTACTTTCCAGAGAATAATGCCTCTGGAAATAAGACGGTGTTAAAATCTCTGCATTTATCGTTAAGTGCTTAAAAGGTCCTTTACAGTTCAGGCAAGAATGATGCTTGCCCTGGCAAGCTTACGTACTAATTGAAACCTCTGTGTTTGTGTGTCAGCACAACACAGCAAAATGGAAAGCTGCATTGGCAACAGAAATACTCTAATGTTGCTCAAGTCAAAATAAAAACTTCATCTTGTTTGGCATCAGCCATGAGAAAAGGTGGATATTGCTGCAGGACAGGGAGACATTGGAAAAGAGAGGCTGGCACAGCTAAGGGGGAACAGCCTACTGGATAATTAGAGACGAGAGAAACTATGCAGGAAGCTTAGAAAGCCACGAGCTATGGGGTAAATTAAAGGAGACAGAGCAGACTGAGTAGATTTGATTGTCTGAATTACATGTGTGCAGCTGAGTAGCAGGTGAAAGGAATGAAGATGAGGTAGTAGTCTGAAAGGCTTTAAAGGGATCACCTGGAGGCCAAGGAGCAGGTGGAGGGCTGAGTTTTGGAGGGGAGGAAGCAAAATGAATCTTGAGAATGTGGGGGGAGGAAGGATGTACATTATCTGGAGGTAAGTATGGTTGTGTGAATGTTGGGGATAAGTGGAGCACTAAGAGAGAAAAACAAATGGAAGCTTGAATCATGACGTGTGCTGTAGGCCAGGAGCGGGAGCAGAAGCATTAGGAAGGGGAGGGGAAAAGGAGGAGAATGCCTCTTATAGGTGAGACAGCAAAGAATGTGAGCTTTAGTAGGCTGTTTGTTCAGTGTAACATACAAAAGTGTAGAAGATAGAGGGCTACTGCCACTACTAATGCTATGTCCTGATCAGAGTGCAGTATTCAATCTCATAGGGTTAAGAACTTGCTAGTACATGGCAATACGAGTGAAATGCTCAGCTGGGGAGCTATGGTTTAGTACAGACAGCATGATGGGGCAAAGCAGGAAGACCTTGGATCAGCGTGTGATTTAACATCAAGAAAAGAAACATTAAAATATAAAGAGGGTTAACTTTTCAGGGACAAATGGTTCCAGGAAGCTTTGGACATGCTGAGCTTTGAACTGTTCCAGTGAATGAATGCATTCTTAAGAGATCTGAAGTTACAAACTTTCTTTTTTGCAGCACAAGCTGTCAGGCCTCTCTGTTTATCGCCTCTTGCTGCAGCCACTCTGTCCCATTCACACCCACTGTCCTTTGCCACCACCCTCTGCATTCCACTTGAGTTTACTGTGTTGATTGCCTGAGTTCTTCACATTTCTCTACTCCCATGCTACATTTTTGCTGCTGTTAGGAGTGGGGTGCCCTTAAAGCTGTATTCTGTTCTCCTCCCTTGAGCTTCTGCCCCAGTGTGCATGGATGAATGTTTGCTCCCTCTTTTCTGGGAGTGATTTCTCTGTAGGTGCTCTGGTATCACCATGGAGCAGCTTACTGCTCCTCTTTATCTGCTCCTTGAGATTTGCTCTCCTTCCTCTTTGATGCATTGTGGTTTCTGATGAATAGGCGTATGTGCTGGCAGCAAGAAAAAAGGCCTACTTCCCATCTGTTAAGGCTTTCTCTGAAAGATGGTGAAATTCAGTGTCTTTTAAATTTTGGAAGAGCTGGCCAGTCTGGGGTGAGAAGGAACTTCTCTACATGCTGATCCTGGGGAATGTCCTCCAGTCATGTTATTTTTCATTTGGCTTTGAGAAATCTATTGATCAACAATGGATTTTCTTCCCTTCAATACTTTAGAAGGAGACACTAGCTTTGAGCATCACTGAAGTTGCAGCTCTTTTCTTCACCTCTCTCCCTCACCAAAGGTTGGCCTGATGTTTACTGTGTCCTGGTGGATTGAAAGGAAATGTGTGTATTCTAGAACCAAATCTGAGCTAAGAGGTTTCCAAGTAGGACATAATGTGACATCTGTCCTCCACTAAGTGCACAGGAAGAGCCTGGGAGGACCATTGGTTGTGATGTAGCTGTGGTTTTGTGACACAGCAGTTTGCGTAGTATAGTCAGTAAAACAACAACTTGAAAACACCTCAATTCCTATCTTTCATGTAAGTGATACTTATACGAAGCGTGCATGTATCTATGTGTACTGAATAATGTGTTTGTGTACTTTTAAATTCATGCTTTTAAACAGCTGTCATGTCAAGAAGTACAAAATGCTGAGTTGGAGATTCTGTTAATTTGCAGCTCACAATATTGTGAAGCTTTGTTGTGTTTTATGTTCGGTTTCCCACTGCTGTTCATTCTGGACTCTTATTTCACCATATTTAAGCATGTGATGCAACAGAGAAAATACTAAAGGTGAAACACCTGTCTGCCAACCTGAGGCAGTTTTGAAACCTGTCAAATACTGTTATTGGAGTTAAAAAGATCTTTTTTCTAAGCTTCTTTATAAGAGATATTGTAATTTTCCTCATGATTCTGGAAAATTAGGGGTGAAATCCTCACATCTGTGAATCAAAACATCTATTGACAGATTGAAATTTCCCTCTATGGGTTCATAAAGGCCATCTTTTTAGTTTAGCAAATAACTGTTTTTATAAACTAACTGCAGTGTAAACTCATTGCTGACTTCACACTTAATTTTGCTTATGGGTTACAAGAAACTGGGTAAATATAACAGGTTCCTTGACATTCTGTGACAGCAGAATAACTGAGGCTTTTCACTTCTACGCAGAGTATATCAGTGCCCGATAATACTCAGGAAAACATTTGGAGAAGATAGAACAGTGATGGTACAGATTCAGGTAAGTGTTTGCACAGGTTGTGTGAGTGTAGGACTATTCATTCTCCCATTCCTGGCTGGCAAGACTAGGATCTCAGAGTGTAGAGATCCATTCTACTGCCTGAGCCTTGTTCACAGACTAGTTAATGTGAGCTTTAGGGATTAGGTCACTAATATATTTCATTCATTGCTAGCTCTGGACACAGAACCTCCCTGCTACCCCTTCCTTTGCTGAGGGACATGTTGGATCCTCCTTTTGTCTAGCAGCTTTTGTTTGTTTTTAACTTTTGTCTTCACATCTGAAATATAACCAGGAAGATCTGGTTCAACATACAAATGCTCCGCATCAAAATCAGAACAGAAACCTGTCAGTGAAGAGGCACTAGAACTTCATTTTTGGTGATTCCAAGTAAATTTAGAAGGTTTTTATGGTGTAAAGGGTAAAAAAGGGAGTGTAAGTACTTCAGTGAATGAGTGCAGAAGCTTTACTTGGGATTTCTAAGAACACATGCATAGTTTGCTTCAAGATTACATAAGGTGGTAACCCAGCCAAGGTGGCTAAGCCAAGCACTGCACTGTTACCAGATAGCAGGCAATATAGGGGATACCGTTTTTGACCTTTCAGTTTCAGCTTAATGTTGAAGCAGAACAAATAAACCTTTAGATGTTGAGGCCTATCTTCAAATTTATTTTCTAATTCCCTGCTGAGATAGAAAGCATCTAACATGTTCTGTTGCTTGTGCAACTTCTGTGAACCAAGATACCAACACCCAGAAGCTCTGTCTCCAGTTGGAAGCCACTTATTGTAAAAACGAAGCCTTTATCCTGCTTGGCTGAAGTTAACAAGCTTGAAATTCAGCTATTTCTTTGAAAAGAATGGTCTGCTAATTGGTGTTGAGCCTTAAATATTTGAGCTTATTTGTTTTTCCTACTTTCCTACTATTATGCTTCGGAAACACTCCTGTTATTACAGTCTATGAAATCAGGCTTATCAAAAAGGAACTATTTATTGATATCTTGATTGATGTGTGTCTAATTAAGGTTGTGTTACTGCGCATATTTTATATTAAAGTAAATGCTTCTTGCAGTTTGACTTTAATCATGTTTGAAGGGCTTTAATAACTGCTTTCCTCTTTTTTTTTTTTTTTTTAAATTTATTTTCCTCGGGCTAAAGGAAGAAATACTTTTAGTTTGCAAAGTTGCATAATTTATAATCACCTGAAGGAATCCTAACACAAATTGTAGTTTGTATTCAATAGATTTGTTCCCAAAAATGCTGGCAGCTGGTAGTATACAGACATTTAGAATGGAGGCTCTGGGGAACCCAGACAGAGTCAGAAGTATTTGTGGACTCTAGTTCTGAAGTATGATGAGATAGATAGGTGCTTTTGACATTTGAGTCTCTCAACCAATTTTACTTAGGACTATAATTACTAGAAAGGAAAATGATTCACAGGTTTCTGAATTCCTGATTTTAAAGTTTCTAACTTACAACTGTGTCTGGTGGTGGTGTTGTGCAAGCTCCTTATTTGTGCAGATATTGTCCTTCACCATTTTTGTTACTGCCTTTCTTGCTTCATTTACAATTACCACTGTTGGAAGGAAATTCAGTTTCAAGTATGCAGTCATTAAAGCACTTGTCCTGTACTTATGTTCTGCTTTCCTTGTGCTGTCCCTCAGCTTGGTAGTTAACTTCATCCTTCATAGATTTTTCCGTGCAATAATTTAAATAAATATTATGCAACCTGATCTTAAAAGATAACTTGGGAGCAACAGATACTGGCTACCACAATTTTTCATTGTAAAACAGTCAGTTTTGAGTGATGTGTCATATATACCTATCTGAAAACATGCTCAGATTTTTGAGAATGGTCAAGCAAGTTTATCAAATTAATTGTTTCTGTGAAATAGCTGTAATGTGATAGATTATCTGAGCTTTACTGGCAGAGGAACACAGTAACATAGGGCTCTTTTGCGCAGTGTATTTTAGTATACTAATATATATTCACAATAGTACCATAAATCACAGAATGGCTTGGGTTGGAAGGGACTTCAAAGCCTGCCCAGTTCCAATCCCCCACTACGGGCAGAGCTGCCACCCACTAGATCAATCTGCTCAGGGCCCCATCCAGTCTGACTTTGAACATCTCCAGAGAAGGGGCATCCACAGATTCTCTGAGCAATGTGTTCCAGTGCCTCACCACCCTCTGAGTAAATAATTTTTTTCTAATATCTAGTCTAAATTTCCTCTCTTTTAGTTCAAAGCCATTTGTGTCACTACTCGTGTGGGAGCTAAATAATTTATTTCTTTTATCCAGATTTTTTAAATTTTAGTGTTTTGTTACTTTTCTCATTAAATCTCATTGGGGGATTGGACACGATGATCTCTGGAGGTCCCTTCCAACCCCTACAATTCTGTGATTCTGTGAAACTGTATAGAAACCTCAAATTGAAGTTCTGATACTGTGATACTACCCAAATAACATAAATAGATGATATTTTTTTACTAGAAACAATATAATTCAAGTAGATGTAGCTGATAACAAGAAAGAATAGTTATTCCCCACTAATGGGATATCTAGGGATAGAATAATCCCATGTTCAAACGCGAATGTCCATGCTAAAAAATTCAGCAGCATCAGGGGATGTGTCCAGGTGTGTGTGTCCCCAGGCTGCTCCAGCAGTTGAAAGCTTTTCCATCAATACCAACTAGCACTCTGCTAAAGGCTTGCCAGGCATTGCTTGGTAGTGCCCACCACTGTACTGGATGAAAGCTCTAGTAGGAAAATGGCCTTACTGTTGCACTTGGATCCTGCTTCTGTCTGCTTCATGTATTAGAATAGATGAAGCCAGGAAGTCCACACTAAAAGCTGACATGGAATATAGATACCTTTTGTCGCACTCCATTGCCTCATAAGACATTATTATTAAAATAATCCTGATAACATGACAGTGTTTAAAAACAAAACAACAACAACGAAAAACTCTACTTCAAATAAGCAGCACTTCTTTAGTTTTCACCTTTGAGGATGGTTATAATTCTTTGTGAAATTAAAGGAAGCAAAAGAACTGATTCAGAAAACCTTTCTGAAAAGATCCCAAATTAGATCATGTAATTAGTACATGAGCATTATAAGCACTGACATTTGGTGGAAATACATTTATGCAAACAAATTCAGTTCACATGGTTTAGGAACATTGAATGATCTTTAGGAAGGAATGATGCTTGAGGTTTATGTAAGCTTTTGTCGGATTTAATTCCTGATATTCACTAGTTCTTAAAACAAGATTTCTCACAAGTTACTGCAGAGTATCCCTAATGAGAAAATTATTAATGGTAATTGCTTAAAAATGGCAGAAATAGAATGCTGGTAAATGATTGTTTTGATGTAAGGAATGTATACTTAGAAATGGTACAGATCCCATAAGTAGTTTGTTCTGCATTTTTCCTTGCATAACCTTCCATGTTTCACCAGCAGTTTCTTTTGTCTTTCCAATACCATTTTATATTCATAAAGCTTGCAGATTTTGCTTGCAAAAATAACAGGTAAGAAAACAGTTATCCAACAGAAGTCTGTTCTGCCCCTGCCCCCTTGATGTGGAGAAACAGGAGAAAGCAGAGTAAGAAAAACACTCCTTGGAGAGAAAACTCTTCTAAATTTACTTTAATTTTGCTAAGTGGGCACTGTTGTTATTGAAAGCTGCTTGCCTAGAAGAACAACTGCTTTCAAGAGCTCTTGAGAGCATGTGAAGAAATCTGGAGTTGATTTGTGTAAGAGGGAGGAACAATCTGTTTCACTTCACCAGCATCGTGCAGTTTCGATGTTACAACATTCACTTGTTAGAAGAGCTCTGTACAAAAGCTAATGTTTCTTAATGGCTAGAGGTGGGCTGAGGTTCCTTCATAGATTAATTTCTAAATGTTGTGTGTCTGAAGATCACTTCTGGAAACCAGATTTGCAGAAGGTCAGTACTATGCCTATGAGTGTGAACTACAAATCTGAACATTACATACCACTTGAAGATGGGGAAAGGAGAGCCCACATCACCTGTTTTAACTTCAGAAAACATGTAGACCTGCTATGATATTATCAGATGATGAACAAACCTGCCTTTTTTTTTTTTTTTTTTTTTTTTTTTTTTTTTTAGTGAATGCCTTCAGAGAAATTTGTTTTAGTATTTTATGCTTAACCTCTAAATGCTTGGCTAGTTGTGATTCAGCTCTTTGGGCAGTACATCTGTTAGGAGCTCTGGGTCCATCCATCAGGAATGTACTTGTTTGAGTATAGAAAAAATTCTGACAACTTAAATTTTATGTGCTATACCCTTTGTTTAGACACCGTGCAGGAATGACATAAGGATGTATCTAAAACTCAAAACAAAACCCACCAATATCCCATCTAAAATCCTTTCAGTTCAGTGCCATCCACGGATGATATTTGGGATAATTCTACTAGATTAATTCAGAAACAGCTACACTTCTCACAGTTTAGGTCAAGTTGCTGATTGCACACTGTTATGATTCAGCTGTAGGAAATATTTTGGGGGGGAAATAATAAAAGGTAAATTTATGCAGGAATATATTTGGAAAAGTCCTGGTGTAAAAATCAAGCAGATCCAAGAAAGAACTTCATTGAAAACATGATTGCGCTACACTGCCTGCTGGTAATATGCATCAATACTGGAGTCAGCCTTAGGGAAAAGGAACATCACTCATTTTTAGTGTTTGCCACAATTGATAAATGTTTAGTGAACTTACCTGAAATTGTGTGTGTGTGTGCGTGCAAAATAGAGTAGAAAACACAAAGGATTGTGAAGGAAATGCTTTAGATATCAAGCAATTAAGGGAAGGTTTTTACTGATGTAAATTGTAACCAGTCTGGTAATCCTGATTTGGTACCTGGAAACAATCAACTCCACTACTTTTCTTTTTTTCTAAAAATTAGGATTTTGCATTGAGACCTGAGTTCTGAATCCGTTGTAGGATTCTCTGATTCAGAGAATTGAGGAAGGCAGTCCATCCCAGTTTACTCTTGAAGGAAAACTGAAGAGGAAAGGAGGCCTTGCCTTTAAGAACCCATGGTTAACTTGCATAATTGCTTTTGTACATTTTCATCTTCTGGAAGCAGAGGTTACTCTAATAGGTTATAAAACTGAGGATGCAAATGAGTTTTAGAGGAAGAAAATAGGTAGAATGTGAACTAGCTAACAAGTAGGCCTGAAGTCCTGTTGGTCTAGGCAAGACTTTCTGGTTCCTCACATTAGCCTCTTTCTAAATAAACTTCTGAGGGAGAGGCTTGTCTTCAGTGTCACTCTGCCAGACTGAGGTTTGACTGATGGAAATAGCTGTATAATGTCTACCTTGGGCTGAAATTCTTTCTAAATTTTTTATTTTCCAGTGAAAAATTGTTTCAGTCACCTGTTGAGTAGCACAGACAAAGCTGCCAAAAATAGTAAAGTCAGTGTTTGAAGCTCACATTAACAGCAACTTCAGAATAAATGAGATATGCATAACTTTATTGGATTTAATTACATGCAAAACTGAACAACTCTGATATGAAGTACAGTAAAAACATGAATATATTCATTAAGGCAATGTTTTATGAAATCCAGACATAGCTGCTCTGAAAGTAACGCCTCCCAGTTTATTATGCTGGTGGTATGGCAGTAGAGGTTGAACCTTCCTAGCAACATTGTTGTTTTGTTACTGTGTGACAGATGGCAGCAGATGGGCAATCTGACAAAAACGGTGTTTGTAGTGGAAGTGCCTACGAAGCAACAGCATAGTACTGAATTCCTCCATGTAGGAAAAACTGGCACCCATTGACACTCATTAATGCTTGCTGAATGTTTACAGAGTCCAAATGGTGGGTGTGAGCACGGTGAGGTGTTTCAGCCCCAAGAGGTGTTGTTTCAGCAGTGTCAATAGTGATGTGAGAGACAAGTCACATTCTGGACAGCCAAGCAGACTTTTGGAAGTGTGGCATGCAAGCTCTTGTTCACTGGTGATGAAAATCCCCAGTGAATGGTTCAGACTACTTTGAAAATTAGCATTTTGAAGGTGAGACTTTCCTCTGTCAATGTTGCTGTGCTCTTTGAATCTGTTGTATTTTTCCATGGAAGCAAATAGGAGGCCTTACTTTTGAAGCAACCTATGTATAAATACAAAAAACACAACCTAGACAGTGAAATACTATTGCACTTTAAGAGCTGAGAGTTAACATTCTGCAGTTGCTTCATTAAGTTCTTAAACGATAGCATGAAAGCACACTTTAAGATCTAATGTTCTAGTTCAAAATTATGCAAGAAAGCTACAGAATTCCTGCCCCACTTCTGTAAGCAGGGCCTGGTCTACCACAGCTGAGTGTGCACCCGAAGGGGAAAAAAAGGAAGCACAAAGTAGAGATGATTAAGGATTGAAAAGATGACTCATCTTGACAACGTGGTATTAAGAGAATTACATTCATATTTCAGTTTTAGCATTTTAATGCACTATTTTTTTTTTTCCATCTAAGACTAATTCTTCCACTCACAATTTTGAGCTCTCCATACTGAAAACAAATTCATTTCTAATATCTTGCTATACTCTCAGGATAGTCTAGGTATTTAATTTAATTAAAAAAAAAAAAAAGAAGTCTGCAGTTTAGTTTCCAGAAAACTCCTCAATCTTTCACAATATGTAAAACTCATAAATAATCCTATTCGCCAAAACGAAAGCAGAAAGTTTCATTTGATCACTCGACTTGTAACCCTACTTACTTACCTGTATCATGTTTAAAAAGCAAACAAACAAAAAAACCCACAAACACTAAAAACATGCTGATGTTGAAGAAAACTGTACAGTACTGAAGCCTTGCCTTTTCATTACTGGAGACACAAATCCAGTTAAGACTGTTTCAACAAGCTTTCATTTTTCAATTAACATGTTCTATTTCAAATTTATTCTCAGTTGAAATGAGTTACATTTGCAGCTGAGGAAAGCAAAGATTCAACTTTGTTCTTTTCTTTTGTGCTCAGCTGTACGATTTATTTTTCTCCTGGCAACAGATTTTAAATCTTTGCCTTAATTAATTTATTTTTTTTTTCATGGGAACTGTTTAGTAAGTGCTGACATTACAGTTGACAACGCTTTGTGTGTTTCCTCCTTTTGCCTGGTTTCTGTGTCTGTGTGTGCAGGCATGCATTCATTAACGTAATTCCTCAACATTCAACAAGAGTGTATCATAAACGAGAGGAAAAAAAGCTCATAAATATTTAGATCCTTGCCTACCTTCCAAAACTAAAGTGAAAAAGAGTATTTAGTGAGGACTGTGAGGACTTGGTTTGAGTTAATCTGCATATGAAGTGAAAGAGGGTACAAAAGGATGAAAAGGTGGTGGAAACGAGCATACAAACCCTGTAGTCTCCAGGGGGCTATTCATCTTGTTCTTGTCAATACAATCTCAGTCCTAGGGCTTGGCTGTTTTTCGCGCATGACCCAACAGACTAGCTTGGCTAAGGCAACGTTGCAAAGGATGTGTGTGCGCTTTCTTCTTAATTCTGTTCTGTCATGTAATTTTTCCAGAGGAGAGCAAAATACTTCATGTTCCAGAAGAACCTAGACAGATTTCTCCAAATGCATCTCTACTTGTTTGTCATTCACACTGACATGAGAACCTCCGAACCTCCTCTTCTTGGTAAAGTAATAGGTAGGTTGTATGAAAAGCCATTCTAGGCAATGTGACAATGAGAAACGGAAAGGTCACATTCTAGCTTAAAGCATGCTATATCTATTTGCATATACAGTCACACTGTTATAAAATTTGGACTTAATGCTGCATATATTTATACATACAATTCCACCAGCAAGTAACATTGAGGGAAAAAAAAAAAAAAAAAAAAAATTATAAATAAAATAATAGAATGCCAATAAAACTTTCTACTTTATTTTCGTAATATTTTGTACAGAGTCGCCTGTTTAGTCTGGAAGGCACCTCTTGAGATCATCTAGTCCAACTCCGTATAGGGAATTCTGCAGTTATTTTATGTGCTTTTATTTCGATTTAATTTCTTCATGAACTGAGATCAAATTGATTTTGAAGGATTGTGTCACTACGTACAATCACTGACAATTTGCAACTGTTATGCTTTGGTGTCTTTTTCAGCCAAACCAATACAAGGACCACTAAAGTCTGTAGTAAGACATGAATAATGATTTCACACAAAACAAAATTTTTTATCATGAAAAGCTAAATGGCAGCAGTGGGTTTTTTTTTTTTTTTTTTTTTTTCCTATTTAAAGTATAAAATAAGTAAATCTTTCTTCAGTTTCCATATTTATTATCTGAAGATAAAATACAAGAATTACATCAATACTATATGCAAAATTGGTCATTTAAATCATAACTTACTAGTAATGTTCACTTATCTTACTATATTACTAATCTACTATTTTGTACTTGTGATAATTAGTTATCAAATTAATCTTTATAATTCCATCTCTTAATTAAATTAAGCTGCTTTTTTTTTTTTTTTTTTTTTTTGTAGTGGCATTTAACAGACCTCCTGAGAAGCCTATTGTTGGAGCAACATAGCGAACATATTAACATAACATCTCAGGCATGAGCCTGAGCATACACTGCCTTGCTAATCACCTGTAGTCAGTTTGACACAGAGCTCCACCTACTTGGATAGGCATCTGACAAGGTACCAAGATCTATCTGTAGCCAGAGGGATAAAACTGAGTTCACCTCCAACCTGTAAGACAGGTGTGTACAAAATCGGAAAGGGGAAAAAAGATCAATTATACCTCTAATGAAAATCCGATGGATGACTATAGCCTACATGGGAGGCAAACCAATGTAGAGATGTATACATCTGAACTGACTTGCTAAAGGAAAAACATTTTCTGGTATGAACTTTGACCATGACTTTTGAAAAGCAAGTAGAAAATATCGAATTTCTAATTCGACGAATGCTTAAGTCCAGTAGTGCCACCTTTTCACCTTTAACAGATGTGGTTTGCAAGCTTCCTAAGTAACACAGACTGTCCAGACTATTCTAGAGTGAGTAGAAAGAAAGCTGCCTATTTTGGCGTACCTGATGCATGGTTTCATGCTGACTTTCTTAATCAAAACAAAATCATAAAAATTCAAGGGAATTTTTCCTGTCTTTCCTCATTTTCTTTAAGGTTGCTGCCACAACCTGTTTTTTAAGTGTATTGTCCCACCAACTAAATGTTTGTTAACAAAATGGTATTGCTATGTAAACTGGATAGTGGATTATGCCCTGTGGGATACTTCTAGCATTTCTCCAGCCTTCAAGCTGCTGAGGAAACAGTTCTTCAATAATATCAGGATATCAAAGTGAGGGCTAAGAACCTCAGAGAGAGAACTATCACATGTTCAGCAAAAGCAAAAGCAAAAATCACTATAACAACCTTTACATAATCAAAGTATGAAAGAAACACTCAAAAAATGAAAACTCTGAAACTTCCAGATACAATTTTAACAAATACAATATCATAAAAGATAATGTTAACACCTAGTGATCATCTTTATTTACAAACTACAAACAAATTCCATAACATAAAAGTGCCTATTTGAGAAAGGGGCCTTGATATCTCGAAGTTACAAGTAAAAAGTTGTAATGTATGTATGTGGAAACTTCTCATGTTCAGGATGAACAGGGACATCTACACTCATGAATTGGATCTGCACAAAGGTAAACTGAATATACAGAAAATCTGTTGTTTTTTCTCCTTGTATTTCAGTTAGAATCCGAGAGCAAGCACAAACCATGTCAAGCTAGAATCTGAGATTATTAGAATGGTAAACTGGGACTTATAATACACTAGTCTACAATTTCCAACAATGGTGGCACAAGCCTTGGGATGATTCCTGTATCTGTGAGGAAATCTTAAATCCATACAAGGTACAGTGGCACTGTTATACTTGGCCTCCATCCTAGCAACTTGAAGCACTTCCTTACAAAATGTTTCACGACTTCTGAAGAGTACAAACACATAAAAATAGACTATTGGGCATATTGTAACTACTAGCTGGTATATTCCTGAAAAGACCTCCTATGCTCAATAGTGGGTAGAAGCAACAAATGGGAGAGAGAGTAACCATCGGCACACAAAAGCCAGTTTAAACTTTCTGTAGTGGAAAGAAAAAAAATAAATCATAAAAATATGAGATTGAAAACCATTTCTCCTTTTTTTTTTTTTTTTTTTTTAATGCAATAGTAGCTATGTATAGATAAAGCAGACTGCAAGCTTCTGACCATACTGTAGCATGGAAGGATAACTGCCTTGCATGAGAAATCAGTGATGCTGTAGAACTGCACTCTGTCCCTTACTTTGGAGGAATGCTGTTGAAGCATCTAAGATTCATACTGCCTGCTCCCCTTCTTTCTTACTTCAGGTACGTCTCTTAATTTGTCACCATTACGTAAACAACAAAGTATTTGCATACAATAAAGATTTAATAAATAGCAAAGATCTGGGATATATAAAACATTGAGTGGGAAAAAAAAAGATTCTGGATCTGTCCAATTTGTTTGATTATATTTTATTAGAAAGTTCAGCCAATACAAATGATTCTTGTTCGTTACCAGCCAGTTTAAAGTGCAGTGTATCATTGTAATTCATATTGATGTTTTCTGTCCAGTTAAAAACAAGCTCCTTGGGTAAGTACTGCTACTTTCTGTGTACTGAATGTTAAGAAGCATAAGCAACACCAGCAATGCTTCAGTATAAGTCAATACACTTATATATGTTCACATTTCAGACATAAAAGGAAAAATTGAATTAATGTGCCAGTTGCATTTTAAGCTCTACTTGCTTTTAGTAGTAATTCAGATGAATGGTTAATTTAAATCTTTTTACAAAGTTATGGCTGAAAGCATTTCATTTATATTCAACAATAACCAACATAGTATGGCGTTTTACCAAAACATGCGACACCTCAAAAGCAGAAGACTTATTTGGTTTCTTGTTGACAGAATTGACAGCTCTTTCCTACTGTTGTTGCCAAAATAAATATGCTAATTTACTTTTTAATTCTTTAGAAAGTGTGAAAATACTCCATGTGAAAAATAAAAATACTTTTTTATTATGTAACTTAAATGGAAATGTCTTTGAACATTGTATTTTTAGTTATACATAGTGAATAAAAAAACTGCTGGTGGCACTATTTTTAAGTAGCTGACTTCACTTAATTAAATGCAGAACAATATTCTGGATAGGTTTAAAGTAGATAGCTAACATAAATCAAATAATAAAACTGGCATGTATGAAACAAATAATGGCTAAGACATCTCAACACTCTGAATTTCTACATGTCTTACTTTCGTAGTCTTAACTTGAGCATGTATTAACTGGGCAGACATTCAGCAACAGTCTTCTCAGAGCCTCCCCAGAGTTAGGCAGCACATAATCACCACTGCTCTCACTTGTGTAATCCATGGCACAGGCAGGCTACGTGTTGTTTTCGTATGCGAGCTCTCCAGAAGAGACAAACCAGAAACCATTTGAAATTCTCCCCTACTGAAACCTGCAGTTGTATAGCTACTGTAGTACCTGTGACTTTACAGATGGGAAACAGAATATCTACCACTCTGACTAAATCTATAGTAGGGCAGATGGGACTGGAAACATTAGAAGTATGCATGCTGTATTTCAAGACATTCTTTTTCTTTAATGAACAAGAATAACGATTACCCAAACAGCAAAATGCACAAAACAGTGCATGTGTTTGCAAGTTAGAAGATAGAGGGAAGTTTAAGAGATTAGAGGAAAAAAATACTTTTTAAATGCGTGTGATTCAAACATATTCTGTGAAAATTGTATTTTTCCCTGTGGCTTTTAAATCTAAATGCTGTAAAGAACAAGAAACAAAGTAGGTACATTTTATGTTCAATAAATCTCAATTTTGTCTTCTCTACATAACTGTTGGTAATATTTTTTTCTATGCTGAGATTTCTTTCTTTCTCTCTTCCTGTTTTCTGCCTTTCTTAGCAACACTACACTAAAAGCAGTATATAAAAAACACCATTTTCATCTTGCACTGACAAGCATGAAATGAAGCCACTACAAACCTTAGTTCTCTAGAAGATTCTAGTTCACTATAGAGGTTTCTCAGGAGCCTGGCAGAACTACCACCCTCTCTAGGTACAGATATCTTTGCTCAGTACTAGAACTTGCATCTTTTCTGAAGAAAAGTCAATCGGGACATAAAGAAGCAGTATATGCAGGCACTACATATCAGTGGAAATTATCTACTGAAAGGAAAATGTAATAGGTGATCTATGGTAACACTGATGCAACACACCCTACGATGCAGGGGTGTTTACTTTTGTCATGCGTAACCATGACTATTTGGTACTCACAGTGAAGCCAAACACAGGGATAGCCACCCCTTCACTATTCTAACTATTAGTTATTTATTAGTGATTATTTTTATTCAAGATTGAATAATTAATTGACAGTCACTAGAATAGGGAAAATGCAGCTCTTTCTATTACTGCATAATTGCAATGAACACAAGGATTTCCCTCCTCTTTTGTCTCCTTTACTCCAACCTGAAAGATACTGCAGGTTAGTGCACCCTTCTTGAACAGCTGTTATGCAGCCTAGAGTACCTTCACTATGGAAAATACAAGAAAAGGTTACTTCCTGACTAAGGTGTGCTTAAAACCTCTATCTTCCACTCTACAGCAAATGCTCAGTGCTGACAGTGAACACAAATTAGGTGCAGAGATTATGCAAAATGTGTTTTGATTCAACATACTGAGCTTAACATCTGAAGCTTGTGCTAGGATTTAAACCAAAGTCAGAGCGTCTTTTCAAATCTGCTGCGTCAGGAAAACATTCAAACTAGAATGAAGCATCCAGTTCCATAGATAGGTACATCTGGCGTACAGAGTAGACAGGTAAGTTTTTAGCATAAACGTTAAAGAACTTGAAGCGATTCATTGGAACAAACTCACATATGTGCTACTACGGTTTCTGTTTGAAAAGTTAGCTGTCAGCTTGGCTTAATGTCAAGGGAAATAGCTTTTCAAGAGTTGTCAGGCATCACAGAATCTGAATATTGTTGATGTTCTCTGTATTTTCAGTCTGGCTCTAGATGTTACTCTGTTCATATTTTAGTCACCTTGGAGAGATGAATGAATTTCAGATGTCCATCTGGTAGTGGCCACATCTGCTGCATCATAGTTACAGCTGCTACTGCCTTGTACACTGTGAATGAACAACAGTCCTGGAGTAGTATTTTTCCTTGGATGACTGTAATGGGTAAGGGAAGAACTGCTTCCTTTCCTGAAGGAGGGTAATATAGCACGTTGTTACCTTCCTCTTACAGAAATCATCAGAAAGCTGATGACATCCAACTGTATACGCCTATGACTAAGTCAACAGAGACGCTTTAACTAAAAGAATGTTTTCCCAGTAGTCCTCAACCTTCAATACTCCTACTTCCCAATCTGCTATCAGATATGAACACTATAGCAGTAATTGAATTTACTTTTTATGATCAGTGCAAGGCCTTTACTGCCCTAGACAGACACTGCTGCTGGCATTATCATATTTTTTCTTATTTCAAGATTAGATTAATGCAATAAAACTTCACCTTTAAAAATAAGCTGCCAGAGAACACTACAGTTTATATGACATGAGAAAGACTACCTAGACAAAATGCAAGAGTTAAAGATAAGGACTTCTGCTCGTGTTCAGACAGAAATTAATGAGTTATGTAGTTACTTGAGGAACCTTGAAAAGCCACAGAACCTGTTTACTGTCCAACAAACAAACTAAAACAACAAAAAATATGCCT